AATTGATCACTCCAGACGTGGGTGAACATACAAGTTCCCAAAATGAGCAGTGTAGATCAAATATGGGAGATCTTCGAAGCACAGCCGAAGACTATCATTGATCTCCGCGCAATGCTGCAGGAAGACGTGAAACAGACAGGCAGTGATGACAGAACGAAGTGGCTGGAGGACATGATCACAAAAGCAACAACAGAGACAACTGCAGCTCGATCTTGTCTGCATTTCGGTCCTGTCTGCGGCTCGGTCTTGTGCGCAGCTCGGGCTTGTCTCCAGCTCGGTCGTATCTGCGGCCCGGTCTTGTCCGCATCTGTGGCACCTTGACCCTTTTAACAGGAAATATAGGCAACAAAAAAAGTTAACAAAAGTAGAGAAAAACAAGAATAATTGTTTAAATGCCCTAAGGTTTGCCAACAAGAAAGCGCGCCATGGTTAAAATGTGCAATTATGCGAATATTGTTAAATAATTGAATTAAAATATAACTAAATTAAACTAAAATCAACGAACTACAGAACGTAAACTGAAGTACGTTAAGCTGAATTCATTTGAAAATAATATAAAACTAAAATAAAAAGTAGTAAACATAATAATGAACTGAAACTAAACTGCAAACTGAACTGCAAACTGAACTTACATATAAATAAGTTAAATAAGCCAAACAAAACAAACTAACGTAACATTGTTGCGCATGTGAATTGGAGGTGTGCGCGGCGCTTCACTCCGCAAACTATGCTAATCTAACTCCAGAACGGTAAGTTGGACATCAGGTAATTTGAAGTAGAAGATCTCCTAACCATTGAAATCTTTTTCCAGGAATATCAAGAAACCCAATAAATTATAAAGTACAAGTAAGTAAAAATGTCCAAATTCGCCGCACCCAATAAACTATGAGGAAGAAAGAAATATAAGTAAATTTCTGTGTTTATATATAGCGCGCTATTTTTTTTTGCAAAAACATTAGGTTATTTAAACCATTTTTGTAACCCAAATTAGGATTCCACCAATTCCTGTAATAAAGATTTACTTTTAAACTAAAGTAAAACTAAGACATTCAAACCCGCAAAAGCAGTCATTAGTTATGAACAGCCCAAAGAAATTAAAGGATGATTTTTTGGTGCATTGAGTCCTATTATCAATTTGGCACTAGTAATTAGATAACTACTACCTGCCTAAAACGTTAATATTGTGAAGTTCCCTAATGGTTCCCTCATCCCTGGTCGATTTGGTGCTTTCTTTCAGATAATATATATTTTCACTTTATTTTTAAGTATTCGTCATATTAACTAAGTTCTGCGGGTCAAGTACTTTCTTCTGTTGGATCTATGAGGACTGTGCTCCACTGCGTTGTCGTACATTAATATGTTTATTTTTATCGGGAACAGATAATTTATCCTAGGCATCCTCAAACATTGAAGGAGCTTCCTGTGATATAGTACTCATTTGTGTCTGCATAATTCTTGGAGGGCGCCTTCTTGCCTTGCGACCAGGATAACGCAGTGAATGTCACATCCACCTAACAAAAACACTATCGTTTCACCAAAATCCGCTAAAGCCTCACAAGAATAGCTACGTAAAAAGCATTTTTGTGGCGAATACTAATAATATTAACCCTTTTTCCGTGATGGTTGGAGTTTGGTAGACGTTTTCCAGCGCCCTTGCGTCCTCTCTTTTGTAAAGCCGTAGTGTCCCTTGTATTATGCA